TGATTGCCAAGGTGCATCTTGAAAAAATGTGCATGCTTGTTTGTCTCAGGTTGATTTTGGAGTTCGAGTTGAGGACCAAGGAGCTTTCTGGTCTTGTGCTCTACATGGCAAGAATAAACCATGCAGATTTTGTTTCCATACAGGTATGTCTGCTTTGTACTCTCATAAAAGCTCCTTTGATTCCTCATTGACTCAATCTCACCTGTTCTAATTGCATTGAGAACATAATCAATCACCCTTTCAATGATAGACAATGCAGAAAGACTAAACTAAATACTTTTCTTATGTCCACTAACTTTATTATCAATCTCTGCTTATAGATCAAGGAGGGACAAGCCTGTCTTGGATTTGATCTTGGTCATGGAAACATCTCTGATTGTGTTCCTTTCTCTATTAATGATGGTAACTGGCACAAGGTAAAAGCCCTCCTTTATTATTGTTATTGTTATAATGTAATAATGAACAGGGCAAAGATGAATGTATAATATTGCTGTAAATCTAAGAACTGAAAATCCTGGAGTGAGGTTTCTCAGACATTCCCAGAAAACCACTTTAACTTGAATATACATCTAATATGTAGTTTAAATATTTAAACTGTCCTGTTAGATCCGTGTGCAGCGCACTAAGCAGAGAGGAGTGCTAGCAGTTGAGGGTCGATACATGAAACAGATGTTCAGTCCAAAAACGGTAAGCCCACTGTTTCACAGAAGAAAGGTAAATGCACATTACTGCATGGAATCAAGCCATCAATAATAAAATGAATGATTTTCTTTTTACCAGGCGGACCTTTTAGATGTGGTTGGAAAAGTTTATGTTGGTGGATTACCGCAGAACTACACAACCAAGAGAATCGGCCCAGTGAGGACTTATTGCTTAGACAATAAACAGACATAAGTGCAATTCAGAAAGAATGTTTTCATCTCTTAAATTTTCTGCCCTCAGATTCTCTACAGTATCAATGGGTGCATCCGTAACTTCACTATGGGTGGAAGTCCTGTGAGCACCAAGTCAGCTGTAACCGGTATGGACTAAAGCATATTTTTCTTACCACACTTTATCTGTGAATTTCTGAAACATATATCATGTCTTCCTCCCTTTGTAGGTCGTACTGAAGTGCTTACTGAGGACTTTAAACTGGACATGGCTGCACCAACCTCCAGTTACATGGTTGGAAGGTGTTTTGTATCAACTGAAACAGGAACCTATTTCGATGGCACTGGCTATCTGAAAGCTGGTGAGTTCACTCTGTTCACTTCAATAAAACTTGGTCATTAAGATGCTGGATTGAAATAATTCACCTGTGCTTTATTAAAAAAACAAAACAAAAAACACATAATGCAAGTTATTTCTTTCCATCTAGTTTCCTCCTATAGGGTGGGTCTGGATGTGTCGATTGCATTTGAGTTTCGAACCAGCAAAACCAGCGGAGTCCTTTTGGCAGTTAGTAACCAAGCCAATGATGGACTTGGTTTGGAGATTGTCGATGGCAAGGTAGAGTCACGATCCTGTAAAATGTAAATTAAATTATGTTTTCTGTGAATACTTGTAATGAAGATTTAAAAGCTGTGAATTAAATGCTAGCTAGAAAAACCTAACATAGCATCCCATTTCAACACACTGAAATGCTACTGGTGTCGAGTACACTAAAGGCCTATTTATGCTCAAAAAACTAAAACATACTCTATTTAAATTATTAAGCAATTATTAAGCAGCATAATGTGGCTTTACAAAACTACAGGTTAAAGGAGCTTTCTCTTTTTAGGTTGTTTTTTTTTCTTAAACAAATTAGTTTGTGGAACCAACAGATTTATACTTTTGACAATGTGTATTCATCTGACATATTTCTTCACTTTTACAACTTAAAATAACACATGGCAACAATTTCTATATGTGGAAGATCATAGTTGACTGTTATTTTAACAAAACAACCATCTCAGACAAAAATTATATGGATTTTGGATGCTGAAATTTACACTAACCTTCCTGATTCCTTCAATTTCCCTTTCATTTAGCTCCTTTTCCATGTCGACAACGGAGCTGGCCGAATCACTGCAAAGCATGTGCCTGAAGGCAGGAGCTTCTGTGATGGCCAGTGGCACAGCGTTACTGCCAACAAGATTCGCCACCGGCTGGAGCTGGTGGTGGATGGAGCAAAGAGCCAAGCACAGTCTCCCAACGCTCGCTCTAACACCTGCGATACCAACGATCCCATCTATGTTGGAGGATATCCTGGTATGGCAGCTTCCTAAAAATAATTCAGTGAAGATGCCAGCATTTCTAATGTACTTCACTTACCTGAGAACACATTTTTCCTAGCTGGAGTTCGCCAGGCAGCTCTTTCTACCCGCTCATCCTTCAGAGGTTGTATGAAGAACCTGAAGATCACTAAGGCATCCAAGACCATGGATGTTCAGTTCAACAAGGCCCTGGAGATTAAAGGAGTCCAGCCACTATCCTGTCCCGCCGGAGCTGCCTAACGCAACCCTAATCCTATAAACCAGTTTCAACAATGAAAGGGAAATAGTCTGAACAGCCCAGTTTCAAACACAGATCTGCAGTGAACTTAATGCTTTAAAGAACCAAAAGCTGTTTAATCTTTGAGTTCAACAAGCATTTATCCTATGCGTCATTTCTATTGGCATCAGAATCCTATATTGCAATGTTATGGGTGAAAATCCACACTTTGAAATAAGTAATGTTGCTTAGTCAAATTATATGAACGTTTTGTGCCTCTCTACTTGAGATTAAGTAAGCTTGAACAATTCTTTGCATGTCAGCATTTGATCCCCAATACTAACATGATAATGACGCAAGATACACTGCTAAGACACCCCTAGAGTGAGATTAGGAACTATGTAAGGTTACTGGAATTTAGTAGCTTGGATTTCATGGTTAGACTATAGTAAAATTGAAGGCTTCACAGAAAACATTTTTCCACAAAATCTTTAATCGTTCCTGTCTGTGAAACCAACACAAAGCTAAACATAATTGTGAAGAGGAAGAAAAACCATGCATGGCTTTAAGAATGTTTTACCAATAAAATCAGAAAACTTGGGTTTGTATTCAGCTGTTAACTTTAAATAAAGTAGTGCCACCAATTGCCTTCCGAAACAACTTATTCTGAAAACTCCAGTGTAATTTAATTACTGTATGAAGTAGAAGTCATATGTGAACAAAAAGTGTCATGAAAACCAAGGAACACAGCAGACAAGGCAGTGACAAGAAGATTAGAAATAAAATCTGTTTAGTGACTCAACTGCAAATGTAGATAGGCAAAGAGTGAAATAATGAGAAGCTATAAGAGGCCTACATCAACTTTATCTGTTGTTCAGACCACAATTAAAGTCTTTACTGAAGAGTATCAAAAAGAAAGTAACTGCTTGGAGACAGCAAACACTAAATTGGTGGTGGTGTTGAAAACAAATAGTCTATCTCAAAAGATTTTGTTTGAATGACCTATGCAACATTGAGATCCAAATCTAATTAAGAATCAATGGAAAGATATTATCAATGTAGTTCATTGATAATATATTCTGATTGGGACTGAACCCTTTTGCAAAGACTGGAGTAAAACTTTCAGTGTCTAGATGTGCAGAGCCCATATGGACAGCTGTTGCAAAATGGTGTTTGCATAGACATTTGTATCAGGTTTTCACAGAAATGCTCAAACAATAGCTAGACATCTGCAGTTCTAACTTGACAAAATGTGCAAAAGCAGTATGCGCTCCTTTTACAAGATACGACATAAAAATAGTATAGGAATTTCTATACTAGTGAACCTATCAATAGTTCAGTGTGACCAAACCTCACCTGCCATGTGCGTGGAAATTGCACATTCAACTTGTTTCCCACCTTTCACTCATGGGAGGCCTGGACAGAGTTAGTCCTTCTACCTGAACTGGATGAAGCAGATTAATTGATTCACAGAAAAACAGTCAGACCTCAAACAGCCTTGTGTTAAGAATTATTGACTTCTCACCTTTGGACAGGTGATAACATTGACTTTAAATGACATTCAATGTTCCTAAGTCTTGCATAACATTGAAGTTGTGATTTTTACATTTGTTATCCTAGTAACAAAAACCTTGACATTTACCTGCACTTGCAGGTCAAATGCAGCAGAGGGCAGTATGTACCTTCTGCAAAAGCAAAGCATAGACTATAGTTGAAAGCCAAATACTTACTGCTGTCTTTACCTGGATACTCCAATAAATTAGTATCTGGAACAATTAAAGAAGATTTCAATATCCATCTTAATTGTGCATTCCTGTTTATTATCATGGTCCTCTTTACATTGGATGAAAAGATGGTAAGACATCAGCCCACAAATTTCGGCTGTGGCTTCTTGAGGTGGAATGTTTAGAAGACAGAAGAAAGCATACAATCTATCCACAGAACTGGTTTACAGTAACACAGCTGTTTGAGCTTCTGGAATGCTTTTAAACTGACAAGTAAGCAGTGAATGAATAGATGTTTAGTTTCAATACTGGGCTTTTAGTACACATGTATTAAAAGTGTGCAAAGTTTAATTATCCGAGGAATAGAACTTTTCCGGGTATAGGTAAGCATTTTCATTCCTCTCAGCTACTATGAAACCCTCAGTTTGGACCATGAGTCGTCAGTCACTGCTCAAGTAGGCCAGATAATTGGAAAATTAAGTTTCCTCAATAAAGCCAATAAAGTGATCTTTTGGGCATTTTTTTAAGTGTGTAAGAAAATTGTAAAATACCTTAAGCCCTTAGCAAGGGCATTTATTTATTTATTTTTTGTTAATTTAATACCTCACTGCACTGCTTGGGTTTGCGTGGCATCTACTGCTATGGGAAACATTTTACTCCATGAAAGGTGAGCAGGTGGAAAAGTTGTCAAAAATCTAAAGACTAGAGAAAAATAAGGCAAAGTCAGTCACCTTTTGACTTTCATTCATTAAAACCTCTGTGTCCAGTTCCGGTCACTTAACATATGGAGGAATGTTAATTTTGGCTTTTAATTGATAATTTGAACTTTTCAGCATTGAAGTATTACAGGACACACAACTTCAGTGAAGAACTGGATGCACAGGTTAGATTTTGTCATAGGAGATGATTTAATCCACACAAGATCAAAGTTATAACTATAGGTTCAAATAAATATTTATGTACACCACCAAGCTTCTGACATATCTCTGACTGAATTTTTAATGACTGCTTCCAGAATTGGTAGAACTCATTGAAACTGGTTGATTTCCCAGCACGGACCTATCTGTACACGGAGTCCGCAAATTTTCAACAGATTTGACATCTAAATCTTTCAAAAAGCTTAGTTTGCAAAATTTATTCATCGCAATCTGTTTCGGTGTGCCTTTTGGGATAGTTGGGAAAGTTTGTGGATTACACTTGAAAGTCAAGTCTGGGCACAGAAACCAACAAATTCAAATGAACTCTACCATGAAGAGTGGTCAAATATCCAGGCAGAAATTTGCCAAACTTGTTGTTGGACATATAACCAAATATGGGTGGGACTGTATACTTTTGATACTGCATGGATTAAGAAAAATAGAAACAGTTCTATTTATGATATTATGAGTCTTTTAAGTATATACTGGCTGTTTGATGTATCATTTCATCCATTGAAAAAATAAATCCTTAAAAGCCAGAAATGTGTCACTTATGGGAATGAGAAGATTTAAACTGCAGACTGAAACTGTATGAAGATTGACTCAGTGCATAATCTGGTCCTGCTTTAAAGTCAGCCATGTATACGCTGCTGCAGCATACAGTATATAGAAGGGATGAAATGCTACTTCATATAACTGGTAATTAGTTTTGTTATATTGAATTTCTCTACTTAGAATCAGAGGATAAAAACAACAGCTGCTTGTTAAAAAAGGGTCCACCCTAAGTATATTACAAAATGTATTTTTACACAGCATATAATTGATATTTGTGGTCTTTGCTATAACTGACCAACATGGAGGTAATTATGATTCTTAAGACTGTTAAAATAATGGTAACCAGTATTGGCGTATCCTTTGCTTAAATTACAAGCAGGACACATTTTAAATTTCTACTTTTTGTTCCATAGTCAAGGAAACATTCACTAAAGTTTTTCAGCGTTTACTAGCATGTTGATGCACTACTCTACCTGTCATTGTTTTCAAGTGTTGATTACTGTAAACCCGTCATTCCGCTTTCCCTTTTTACATCCTAGTGAAGTGAGATAAAACACCAAGCTACAGCGAAAATCTAAGTCTCATTTTGACATCAGTCAAAGCATTCGAGCATTCCACGTAAATATCACTGACAGTAAAGCATTAACCTCTTCAGCTACCATGATAAAATGAATGTAGTCAGAGAAAAATCGCCAAGTCTTGTTCGATACAAGCTTCTGAACAAAATCCTCCAAAGCAGAGTCACTGTGAATCATCTATACCATAGCAGCACCTCCCTTTGTGCCAAATCTGCTGACTTATTGCATGCTGTTGGGTCCTCTTCACTTTATCTGAGGTGCCATCTAGACATGTTGGGTTTCCATTTCAGCAGTTCTAGGATTGTTTGGCACCTTCACTAGCCTCCCAATGCTACACACACACACACAAGTGTCCTGTTCCTAAAGCTTTTCAACTGTAAGCGTCTGCTTTGGGTACGATTCCTCCTACTCCGAATCCAGATCTTGTCAGGATGACTGCATGAGGCCTGTGAGTCGTTTTCCTGTCAGCGATTTTCCCTGGGTACAGAGGGAGAGGAAGAGAAACGCAGTGCCTTATAAACTATTTGACACTTACAGAATCCCACTGTTTGTTTTTTGTTTTGATGTATCAGACATGAGGTGATGGGAGTAAACACAAAGGTTCTGATGAAAGGTCAAAGGACTAATTCAGGACTTTATTGAAAATAGAATTGATTGTTGCAAAAATACTTCGATTTATTATTTCACAAACTCTTGAAGTTTAGAGTGAAATATTAGCCTCATAGGGGCTCCAATGCAAAACGTATCAATCCCTTAATAATTTTTTACTCTTAAATGTTATTTGTTAAATTTATTTGTAATATCCTCTCAGTATTCTTAATAATGACTCTTTATAGTATAAAGGAGGTTAGTGACACTTCTGGACAAACCAATTAGTGCCACAAGCAAGTCAGCTAATGTCAAATCCTTTCAGCTAAAAGGCCCCCAGTTATAAGGAACAAATTACTAAATCAAAACATCTTCAGGTAAAACTCCATTGTGTTGTTTTAAATATCAGCAAATATGATAAATTTATCTGCTTAATGTTTTACCTCAGTATAACAAAAACACTAACTCTTCTCCTTTATAGTTTACACATAAACACATTATTTACTTCTCACTGAAAGTTACAGCAGCAGCAGCAGCGTAAAGTGCAACTCATTGGTTTGTTTTTAATTAAGTTTCAGGAGAGGCAATAAGACTCTTACCACACTGCGAGTGAACTTCTCCAGGGAGGTGCGTCGTCCCTGCTCTGTTTCAGGCTACCGGATCATAGAAAGTAGGAAAAAAAAAATAGCATTCATGATTTTCAAATTTATTACCAAAAACATATGACGCGTTATTTAGCCCACCCGAGTCAATTTGCTGTGGAGCCACCTTTCACTGAAAGAGCAGCTACAGTTTTAAATATCTAGTGGGTGAGGATGTTGCTCAGAGTGGACGGAGCATTAATACGACTATCATTTGGACTTTACACATTGACCTAAACCAATCCAGTTCTGGCCGCTCCTTAGTTGCTAGTCTTTAAAATGTTTTTTCATTATTTCCTTGTATGTGGCTGTATTTTGCTTCCCTGTACTTGCTGAAGAAAAATATCCCAAATGCTGCCATCACCATTTGTTTTTTTCCTTTAATGGGGATGGCGTGTCTTTGAAGGTCTTCAAAGAACTGAAAATAAATAATTACTAATTAGGTGATGTCTGACAGCATTCAGCTGCACTGGATTTTAGGTGTCAGGATAAAGGAGGTTAATGCAAATGAATTTATAACACGACAAATGTTTGCAAGGCGCTGCAAGCTAAACAAATGACCCATACACAGATGACAAACACTCACTTTCTTCCTTGCCATTAGCAGATCCTGGTAGACATTGGAGCGGAGGAAACGTGGATAGCTGTCACTTTTCATCAGTTTATAAATGTGGTCCTAAAAAAAAAGGAAACAGAGAATGAAAGAACATTATCTTTACCACAAACTCTGGTGTGGGTAATAAACCGCAGTATGACTGAGCAAATACCTAAACAAGAAACAAACTGGGCAAGTCAGAAGATAAATTTAAACAGGATTTCTGCAGGGTGAAGAAGGTTTCAGTGCACTGCCAAGAAAGCAGTAGGGCAAACCTTTTCTTTATTAAAGTCTTTCTTTATATATCTGTAGCATGAAATTAAATTTGATAGACAAGCTCATATATCTCTCCCCACACTCAGTGGTTCACCCATTTCTCAGAAAGGCATGTTCTCTAGAAATGACTGCACAATACAAACTGAAATTTATTAACTCTGGTGAAGCATGTAAGATAGACAAATCAGGCAGACAATGTTGCATCAAGTACCTTTTGAAAACACATCTGACATGAATCACTTGAATATATTTTTTAAAAATTACAGTCTACAAAAGCCATTACGTTCATAAGTCCTTTCAGATCCACTTTTGTCCTATTTGAAATATTTTTTTTATATAAATGAGTCCAGAGGCACTGCTCAATATTGTCAAATGTAAAGTCTGCTGTACCAGACATGCTGAAAAGTTACAAATTGACATTCTCATTCTTTGATTTTTGAAAGTATACAGAAGAACTCGGTCTCAACTATCAGTGGATCAATTGGCTTGATGAGTTTTCCTCATTCGTGTGCAGAGTGCTGCACATGAACATGAATGAAGCTCACTTTAAAATATTTACATTGAGTAATGCACCTTGTTTGCATTATATTTGTTTTATTTATTTGGTAAATGTGCCACTTCCAAAATCAGCTTCCTTCAAACTACCACTAGGCTTCAGGAAGCCAGAAAACATCCTGGTGTATTAGCAGACAATTGGGAATTAAACCTTTGGTGCTTCAATGCAGTGACTAAATTTTCAAGATAACCCAAAAGAACCTCTTGTTTTTAGTCACTGTTGTCTTGTTGCAAACTATTAAATAATTTTTAGATCTTATCTGAGTGGTTTTCAAATCTCCAGCCTCACGTCTGAATCAATGTCTGTGTGTTTTTCAAGTTTTCTTCCTACCTGGGCATCCTCATAGCTATAGCGTCCAGGGTCTTTCAGGTTCTGGCTGGTGATTTCATAGCTATGCGAGTCCAGGTTGATGGAGCTGGGTGCTCCCTCTGCCAGAAACTCCGCCCAGATGTCTTGCACTCTCTGCGCAACATCCTGCTGGGGGACCTTCTTCAGACCCTGCACTGCTAACCAGAACCTACAATGCAAATCACAAAAGACAAAGAGGACATTTGGTCAAGTTCATTTATTTTATCTTAAAGCTGCTTTTGATCGATGTTGAACAAGTTTGTACTTTTTTAAAACCCAAACTCAAGACCAAGGGGAAAAGAAGAAACTTTACTTTAGTCAAAAGTAAAGTTTTTTTCCTTGAATTAACAATCTGTATTTATTCCTGAAGTGACTGGTTGCTATAAGTCATAAAAGTCCCATACTTCAAATCTGAACAAATGAAACGTTTAAACCTCACATGTGAACTAAACAAATGTTTCAAGTGATTTATGAGCGTCCTTGTTTTTGCCTTTGTGTTTGTTGAGTAGCAATTTGAACATTTCAAGGGTGAGCAACTTAACACTTTGTCTTACTCGGCATTCACTTGTCATTATCGGCCTTTGCCTCTTCATCTGGTCGTTGTGTTGAACTTTATTCATTTAACGCCTTTCTCTGAACCGAAGCTCAGAAAGTCGTTTTAAACTCCTGCCGGGCTCTGAATGTACTTTAACGCGCTTTGTGAGTTTGTCCTGTCTGGAGCACTTTTATATTACATCTTGAAACTGGTCTACATCGCTTTCATTTAGGTGATTGGTGTTTATTGTGTGTTTTAGGCTTTAGAGCTGCTGCTGCGACCAGACATATTGGTCAGGTGAAAAAAGTGGAAAACAAGTTATATGAAAGCATTTGACAAGACTATTTGAAGGGGTATGTATAGCACTGTCATAAACATGAGCATGACACTTTCAATTAACTTTTAGTGCATCTTTGCATTATTTATCAAATGACAACAGTTTATGAACATTTATGAAGAGTCATTCATGTTCATCATATGTGTTATGTCATGTTTTTGACAGTCGCATTGGTTTTAGCCACAAAAAAAGTGTTACCAAGCATTAAAATGTAATTCTAATAGAATTTCTGTCTTAATTTGCTTTAGGCCTTTTGCTTTGAAATTTTGTGATGTATTTAATTTAGAATATACTTAGAAATGCTTGAAAACAATTTGCAGATCTCTGGTCAGCCACTTTGAAGCTTGATGAGAATTACAAAATGAATTATTTTATATTGGTAAATGCACCACATGAAAAAGCCCCAAAAGCTACCAACATAACTCTTTAGTCTGGATGATACTGCAGTATAAAGACTCAAATTTAGCTATTAGTATCAAAGAGATGTGTAATTCAAATACATCTTATTTATAAAGCACATTTTCAAAAAAAATCAGTGCTGTAAAAAGCAAAGACAAACCAAAAAATCAAAATCAAAACATAAAACCACATCAAAGACAATAAAAAACTGGGTCAAAAAAGCTGTGTAAAAAATATGTATTTCATAAGAGACTTATAAACAGGAAGTGAAGATGCCCATCTAATATTCAATGGCTAATAAGAAGCCACAACAACAACAAAAAATCAATTTCTTCTCAATTTCCACCTGGTTGTTTTCGGAAAAACTAAAAGCAGCTGGTCAGATGATCTAAGGACTTTGAAATTAATTCTGTAATATAAAGGAAGCCAGTGAAATGAGGACATGACAAGTGAGCTGTGCTCATGTCTGTGTACCAGTTAAAATACAAGCAGCAACGTTTTAGCAACCTGAAGACATGAAAGAGATGCTTGACAGTCAAGCCATCTTGAAATAAAGGTATTTTTTCTCCGAGTCCTGCTGCAATAAAACTGGCTTAATATGAAGCCAGAGGAAGGATAAAGATTTAAGGAAACTATACCGTATCACGTCAAAACATGCCTGTCTTCCTGTCTGGCTGCAAGAAAGTGAGATTTTTAGAAGATAAGCTTGAACAATGGTTAGTTGCTCTGTTATATCACTTTGAGCTTAACATACTAGATTCTGAAACACTAGCAGCCTTTCAGACCACTCAGTGTTAAGGTAAGGATCTGTAATGTCTTTTAAGACATGGAAATTTCAGTTTTTGTAATGCCAGCTGTACTAATTTCTACTGTCAAGTTTCTCCTGGTTTGATTTCACTGTGCATTCCCAACTTGAAAAGGATGATCTTTTTTGTGAAATATAACTGGGGTTCACTCAAGGAGTCTTCATTTTAGTTATATTTATTTTTATATGATGCTCCAATCATACAGGTGAAAACCCTCAAAAGAAATAGAAACATCTAAATTACATCGTGAACTCAACAGGACAAATACACTGTGAAAACTCAAAATACATTTCCACTGATTTAAATCATTTAATTCTACAGTATAATAAATTAACATTTTCTATCAATATGTTCTGCTTTAACTAATAAACACCAAGTGCATATAAATATATATACATTTCCTTTTTTTTTTCTCATGAAAACAATCAAAAGTTAAAGTCCATGTAAAACAGTATTAGGAGCTTACCGGCTGTCCTTCACAGTTTTTTAAAGATTTGCACAGTTTGTTTCTTGCATGTGATCAGCACTGTTTGTCACACATGCTGTGCCACTCTCTCAAACAAGAGTGAGAGGTCAGCCACACCTAAAATACTTTTCCAATTGCCAGGAGATTGACTCCACCTGGTTCTCATCTGTAGCAGGCAGAGCACAAAGAAGCAACAAGAGGGGAGTGGCTTCTTGGCAGTTCACCAGAACATCTACTGTACAATGTCACTGAGAGCTCAAAATGTGAACTTTACAATGATTTTGTCTCCATTTTAAAACATGAATACACTACTATTTGAAGGATTGCTTGCAACAGGAAGGCTAGAAAAAAGGTTTTCAATTCAGTTCTTAGATCTATGTTATGGTTCATAAAGACAAATTGAAGTTTGCTCAAGTTTATATGGGCAGTTCAGAACTTTATGAAAAATGAAAAATAAAAATCAGTCGCAGATACTGGCTACTGCATCTTGTTAATGATACTCTTACAAGTTGTCTTTGATTAAAGAGTTTTGGATAACGTTTTGCAAATCTTCACTAACCTCAAGCTAAAAGCAGTGGTACAGCAGTAAATTGAACATCACAAGAGAACATTATATTTCCATTAGCTTGTTCAAAAAAAAAAGAAGAAAAACTAAGAATGCTCATGAGAACAAATGTGTTTTGAACATATTTTTTCAAAAAAAAAAAAAAATAAATACACAAACTTCCAAGCAATTAAGACAGTTTATCAACTGCTGTATCTCAAAGCCATACAGCTAGCTCTAATATTTTTAGACTAGCTCTAATATTTGACTAGCTCTAATATTTTTTTTTCTCTCTATTGATCTGTGGACTGCCTCAGCAATATAGAGAGAAACACCTCTAGGGTCTACTTTTCTGATTCACTCTCAGTTTCTCTAGAAATGCTCCAAAAGCTCCCTCATAAAACCAAACACAATTAAGGGTTTAGAGACTGGAGTGTGAATTCTTGTGGGACGGCTGATGGTTGAACAGGTCTATATCGCTCCTCTCCGTCTTGCTGTGTGTGCATTTCTGTGTTTTATCAGGCTCAGAGGCATCAACATCCTCAACTGGAGTAGTCCATCTCTACCACTCCTTCCCTCCAACTAACAGTACAAGAACACAAACATTTATTGCTGCTGTGAGCATGAAAGGCGAAACATTATATTGTGTGTAAATCTTTATTTCTAAATGAAGGATGAATTTAATATTTTCTCTGCAAATCAATAAACAGCTACTCTAAAATTAACACATTCATTAACGTGGAGGTTAATGAATGTGCAATGAAAAAAATAATCTTAATGCCATGTCAATGTGCAAAAACAGTATGAAAAAATGAGCTCTACTTCAGTGCTTCCCCTGTACTTCAGCAGGAAAGCAGCAAGGAGCTGCTCTTTAGATGACGAGATAAGCACCATCGAAGCTGAGTTGTTTGGAGCTCCAGAGTTTTTAGAGAGGTGGATGTCAGCAGAGACAGTGATCTCTGCCACGTTTATTTTTAAATACAGAAGAATGCAATGACGATTATTCACAATTGAGAACTCAAGACAATTATTCATTGTACCAAGAATGTGTTCACACCAAGGTCAGACATAGCAATGTTATGAGAACATTTTAACAAATGGCACAACCATTGGTCATCTAAACAAAACAGTATGTCAATACAAGCAACTTCTACTGTAAACTCAGTAAATTAATCATAGATAACTCTAAATGTAATCAAATCAAATGTAAGACTCCTTCTCTCATACCTGAAGCGTGACAAAATTTTATCTTTCAAGATTATGATCCAATCAAAGCAAAAGCAAACTATTATCGACATAGTGTCTGAGAAACATAGTGTATGAATGGCTCAATAACTTCAATTACTGCCTTGATTTGCAAATTATTAATATTTAATCATGATAAAGCTCAACTAAATTACTTTTGTGAATAAAGCTGGGCCTCACATTCCTTACCAACATCAGAAAATTATATTTACTTACAGGAAAAAGAAATGATTGTACATAAGCGTAAATGGAAATGTTAAATCAATGATATAACTTTGAAATTATATGTTTCTTTTGCACATTTAGGTTCATGTCTTTCAACAACTTGTTATGATTAAATAGAAAAAAGACTGGTTGTAAGACTGATTGAAACAAGTTTCTGTTTTGACTCACCTCAGGTTTTCTGAGCTAAACTCTGATTCTAGGAACTTGAGGAACAGATCCTGTCCTGCTGGATCCTTCAGAGCCTCCTCCAGGGAGAAACCCCACTTCTTTACCCTCTGCTGACTCGGTTCTTTGCTAGGAGAGACGAGAAAAGGAGGAGAGAAAATGAAAATAGTTTAAAGACTTTACCCATCTTTAAAAAAAAAAAGATTAATAATAAAGTGGGGTACAGAAGAAGATATCTGAAAGAAAAGGTTGAGTCTTGGGTTTTCTGTTAAACACCAGAAAAAAATCCATTAAAAAAAAATGCATGCCTGTATTGTGACAAAGGTGGCATAATAGTCACTGCAAAGCTCCATATGACAGTTTTAATCAGAAATCACATTGCTTAGATTTCTACATGGAACATATCCTTCTGTGCCGAATTTTAATCAATTTGGATGAATTATTAAGATGCATTAGGCTTCGTGATTATGGGTCTACTCTAATTAATTCCTTCATTATTCAGTGAGGCCAGAAGTTCAGAGCACAGTTCAACTTGTTCAAAGTAATGTTCACCCGCTGCATTTCCTGTGTCTCTCATTAATAATTCAGCAAACTATCAGTAGCATCACATGGCTATGTGAGTTTCTGGAACAGAAGGCAACATAGTTGATAAATCAAACTGAAGAAATGATGACGTAACAATTAGACAATTTAAACAAGAGAGTCTGAATTGAACACAGGTTGTAAAAAATTACCTGTTGCAACAGTCATTGGCTAAATTCAGTTGTCATTAGTATATTTGGAGACAGTAAATTGAGTGCATTTTATTTCAAGTCTGAGATTCACTAGTTTATCTAATGCTATTCTTGGACAATAGGTATTGTGCTATTCATGGCTGCACTTTTCTATACAGAACAAACTCTGTACTCTGATTTATTCCTATTCTGCTGTAGATAGTCATCAATTACTCCAATGTGGCATTCTTCAACTACAAAGGACATTTTTATTAAGTGTCAATCAGAAGTTTTCACCTCCCCTTTATCCTGCAATTCAAACATGTTCAATAAAATACACCAATAACCTTTGATTAATTGAAAAAGCAAAAATGTAACATAAAAAATTATTGTACATTTGCTTTACAGGTGCTGTAAATTCATCAAATGTTTACAGTGGTAAAAGAGGCACACAAATGCATAATTTCAAACAAAGGCTTTGTGCCTTTACCTGGGTTTCTGCAATAGGGTGGGCACTAAATATTGAATTTAAATTCTTCTGATTTTGTCTTCCTTTCTTCCTTTCAGTTTGACTCAGAAACCAAACATGTGTGAAATGGTTTGAATGTTATGAATTAAGAAATAGTTACAAGTCACTTTTTAGTATTAGGAGCCCTATCTAATTCATTTTGAGTTATTTGTAATAAAAAAAAAAAAGTTTGGTTTCAATTCTTTTGGTCCCCCTTAAGAACTCTAAAGTGAAACATCTGGATATAAAATATACAGATGTATTAAACTTTTTTTTCTGAGTTTCTGTGAATTTTAAATGATTTTAATAAAAAAAAAAAACTGATGTTTCTGCTTTGGTACCTCATCTCCAGGTCCCAGAGAGTGGGGTCATCATTGGTCCAAGGATTAGATGGTTCTGGTGTGGTTATAAATGGGTCGTACTCTATGAACTGCTCTGTGTAGGTCATCAGGCTGGTATACAAAAACACACAAGGATTAATGCAAAAAGATGAGATAATAAAACACTGATACAGTTACTAAACCGCAGGAACAAAACATAAATCCTACTATGTTATGTTGTGTCATATTTGGCAAGATACTAAAATCAAATCTTGAACTCCTTCTTTAAAAAGTCTTAAATTGTGAATGGAAGCAGAAGTAGAACCATTAGAGATGTAGTAGCAGTCTCTAACTTTTATCACACAAGTGTTATAAACACTTCTAAAGGTTTATTTTCTCCTTCTTTTTATTGCACATAACTGCAGCCACCAAAGGATGAGCTGGAGCATCAACATTTTGAATGATCTCCATTCCTGTTGTAACAGAAGAAAGGAGCATATGCTCAATGAATGCAAATATTCATTGAGAAAAAAAACAAAGAAAAAATTACTAAAACAGACTCCCTACTGAGAAAAGCTGAAACTGTGCAGAACCTGGCTTATCTCTCTAATATCTGTTTTCATTTTGTCTGTGAGGTGTACATTTCTTTACCTTTCAGCAACTTTGGACATTTTCAAACAGTGACGGTCTAGCTGGGTGTTCAGAAATAAGATCTGTAAAGAAAAAAAATCTATTTATTTATTTGCATGATGAATAAATAAGATGTTTCTCTGGTTTGTGTTACTGTTTCACGCAGGATAAAGGTGTATACATTATGTCATCGACACCATTCTTACCTCTTTTTCTACGTCCTCTTTCGTCCCTTTTCGGCAGTGATGTAACGAAGTGTGTATTGGACTCTGTGACTGTGTTCCCTCCTCCACCACACCGTACACTGACTGGATCATATAAGAAAAAAAGACAGCTAAGCAGGTTATTTGATTAAATGTGCACTTGAGTATCCTCACATTGCTAGTGGGATATGGTTCACATTTATGCCGCCTTGGATTAGCACAACCTTTGGTGCATTTTCCTTGAGAATTTAAAGATGGATGCACTTTTGCTAAAAAGCAGAAAGAACATCAAAAATCTACTTATGCACCGTCTGATTCGAGTTCAGTTTGAATTGCACGACCAAACAGCCTTGATTTCTGAAAAAATATCAAAATACAGCAAATGATTTTTGGCCACAGGGTGTGACTCCTCAACGTAGAGAGAGGCACATGCAAAGAACTACAATTAAACTAGAATTTATCAGACGTATTTGTATGTGAAGACTCTTTACTTCATACCTTCTTAACTCGATGAGGATTCTTCATACGTCTGCATTTCCTTATGTCCATTTCTGTGGTGTTAACACATCCAGGCTGAAGGAAAATGAACATAAAATATTTTTTTCTGTCAATACGGGTAGTACATTCAGCACCTGTGTAATGATTGTAATTGGAGTCTGTAGATAATGGATAAGTTGGTCAAATAAAGATTCACCACTGGTCTGTGGACGTCCCAGAAGGCTCTCTCCTGGCTGTCAAGGATCTTCCTCTCAGTTTTATCCTTTTTTCTGTCGATCCTGCAAGTGAGACGAGACACAGTGGGAAACAAAACTTCCATCTTATCCTCATTCCATCAAAGATTCAAGTCAGAACTCAAGGATATGGAAGAGGAATAGTGGCAAGAATAAGAATTATTTGAAATAGTTTTAGTTTTTGAAAATGAAAATTGTGTAAGTTAAAAAACAGCATTACTGTATTGTTTCCTGTACAATTACTAAAGTAAACAACACAGGGTTTCAGAAAGACCACTTTTCTTTTCCACATACTATAGTTATGAATACTCACTGTGTGCTTAAATCTAAACATTTGCAATCAAGAGATGCAAATATAGGTTGAATAAATAAGTGGTGTGCTGCTCTAACGTCTTTCAATCCATAGGAATCCTTTTGCAAAGTTACTATCATTGCCTTATTGATGTGTGGAATATTTCCAGTGCTTGTTTAAAAATTGTTTCTTAGTTATATTTAAAGAGAATACAGTTTATAATTATTTGATCAAATCTGTCAAATTGTACGACCTTTGGGACAACTTGGGAGAATATCTAAAGTTCATGCATGTTACATTCATGTGCTGACTTGGTGACAAAACTTACTTGACCTGCGCTTCAGCCTGCATGTAGATAAACTCCCACTTTCTTGCAAAGGCCCTCTGTAGTCTGGCTAAGTTCTCCTGTTGGGAAAAAATAATAAAACCAAGATTCAAACTCTATGAGGGGCCAAGCCCACCTGTCTATAGGTTGCTCAAAACTAAATAGTTGTAACTTAAAAGAGCATTTCTGCACTTACTGCCTCATAATCTGCCAGCTCCAGCCTCGTCTTATTCTGCATGGTCCTCTTGCACAGGTAGATAGCTGAGAAAAGAGGGTTTAAAAACAGGAATTTATCAGTAGAACGTATCTATAATCCTCCAGCTCATGTGTGTCGTCTTATCAGTGTAGACTCATGGCTACACTTTTCTCACAAGTAGATGTGCAGAGAATTATCAGTGTGAAGGTGTTTGATGATTTTTAAGATTATTAGATTATGAAGATACTCTAAAAACTTAAACCCTCAATCAAAGCCATGAAACATGTGACATGGTGGTGGAAAGGGATTGATTATTGGTCCTCATCAAAACACAGAAGTGCTGGCCATGTCTCAGTGTTTTCCAGTAAGCATTTGTATTTACACTCAGATTTGCTAATGAATAATTTATAGTAAAACAAACTAAGTTGGAAAACTTTTATTCTGTCTGAATTATATATACATTTTTACCGATACCAAGAAATTGATAGATATTGGTACTACATCTATCAATTGTACATATGAAGTACTACTTTGTGCTGCTCCATCACATATAAAAACCAATACAGTACATTGAAGTTATGATTATTAAGTGGCAAAATGTAAAAGTCCAATGCTATGAATATTTTTTAGCACTGTGCAACTATGTAGAGTCTATGTAAGAGGAATGTGAGGAAGTGAGGATTGTTTAGTAGGCAGAAGTAGTTCTGCTCTAACTGCTGATCATAGAGAAATGATGGCATCCTGTGAGAATCAAACTCATTCCATTTGAAGCTTAACGTCTAATGAAGTTACGTGTTTGCATAATAATCAGGACAAACTGCATCAGCAGAATATCAGCATTAAATTCCCAATTTAAAGAAGTACTTCGTTAAAATAAAACCCTAATTGATCATGTCTTCTGTCTCCACCATATCTTTCAAACATTTAAAAATATTCCAGTGTAAATTTACAAAGTGGTGCAGCAACATTTAAAAGTAAAGTATCTTGGGATTGTCTTCTTTGGTCAATTCTTTCAGGCTTATACCTGTTTAAATTAAAGATAATGCACAACATATCAAATTAAAACTGAACTATGGTTTGAGATAATCTCCTGTAGTGTGCAGGAATCAGATCTCATTTATTAAAAGCAGTGAATCTGAAGCATTTAGACATCCAACTGAAGTAAATATTTGAAGAACGTTTGAATTATTTAATGTAACCAGTTCTTTTTCTAGCAATATAGCCTTTTTGTCACATCTTTAAAAAGGTTATGCCAAGAAAGCAGCATTACAAGTTTGCGCAAAAAACATCAAATTGAAATTCATTGCAATTTAAAGCAATTCTTACCATAATCTGTGTTCTCAGGCTCCCAACAATTGGATGGCCAGAAATACGGCGCCTAAAGCAAAACAATAAAAGAAAATCAGTTATCCTGCATTGAGACAATCCACAAATATTGGGAAAACCAAAGAGATGACACTCACCTTTATCTTTTTTTTTTTTACTGTAACATCATACAATAATCAGATATAAAAGACACAAAAAAAATTATATCTGGGCCAATATGGTGTGAAGAATAACGGGTAGAACTAACTTAAGTATGTGCATCCACTACCGTGTGTTGTGTAAAAAAAATCCTGATGAATAACATTGACATGTTTGTATAAAAGATTTGTGAATATCTTTTCAGGGTGAGACTGTGAGTCTTGTATCTTGATTTTTTTAATATGTGGTTCTTTGTCTTGTGGCTTGTTTGCTTGACTTCAATCTGTATTGAAGTCGTTTATTAACGTTTTTGGCCTCTTCTAACACTGGCTGCTTCTCCACTTCACTTTGAAAGACAAGAATGAAGGTCAAAGCACCGCAGTGCACTGCTGTCTGCTTTAATTAAACTGCTGCTCCTGTTTTCAACAAAGCTCTACAGGAACAAAGAACATGCTACACAGAGATAACTCTGATCTTACCTCATGCAGGTTTATAATTGAGGACATACACAAGTTACTTCCCTTTTGTATCATAAAACTCAAGAAAAAAAAAAACGGGATTCGGGATTTTATTGCCTCTGCCATCTGGGATGGATGAATCAAAATCCATGAAAAAAGTTCAACTTCAAATGGAAATTATTGTTCGATTCATTTGAAAAAAAAAAAAAAAAAAAAAAAAAAAAAAACTCAGAAGCTCAGCCAAAACTTACATGTGATTTCCAGACAGTCTTATTCAATAAATTATGATATGATGTGTCTTTAATATAGCAAATAAAGACACAAAACCTTTTTTGGGCCTGGCTGAAGCAACTGGTGAATAAAGTGACCATCGATTAATATGAGAGTACATCTACACAGCATCAGATGTAAAACAATATTTTTGCCCTCTTTTTGTTCTCCTGGTTCTCTTATCTTGTTACGTTTTCTATGAACAATGACCTTATTGTTGAGGTTAGGCACATTTCCTTTTTGCTCTCGTATTTTCTTTGCATAATTGATCTTCCTGCTCACCTGGAAGCGGTATAAAGTTCCATCATCTTTGAGGCACAGGACATGATCAGAGATGGGAAAAAAGTATCCCTGAGCTGCAATCAGACTCCCGATGTGCATGGCCTCCGCTGAAAAAAATAAAGAGTACTAATCAAACTGTGCCTTTGGATCTGAGGCAAAATCTACAAAGGTGGTGATCTCTTAGTGAGCACAAAGTTAAAATAGAAAAATCTGAACAGTCATTAACAGCTATAGCTTAAAATAAGAGTCAGATTCCTGGCATCTAACAAAGGAGTTGTTTTAGCTTTCTGCTCTGGGGTGTCCTGGTTGAAACAGACTTATTAAACAAAGCTATGGTCAATTAAACAAAAAATCATCATCATTACTTTCCTGGATCAGGCCGTTATCACTAAATAATGTTAAACTCTTCACTTCAGGGTTTGTATGCATTTTAATGATGACATTTCTCAATTTTGTATTAATTTCCCCTTTTCTTTCAAGCAATTTTGAAGCACAAAAAATAAATGCATTATGAATACATTACTACCGAGAAGACAAAGCATCTATTGAATAGGGAATAAAGTGAGAAATACAAATATCTGCCATACTTTGTCCTTTTCCAAAATTATGCAAACTTGGAAAAAACTATTCCTATGTAAAACTCCATAATCTAAAGACAAAACTACTTATGTAATTTAAGCTACAAAAAGATCCTACAAACATTCATTTGTTTATTTTAGACATTTCAAATTTGAAGTATTTGACTATTAACACAAATATTGTTTTTTGAGCCTACCTGGATCCTCTATGGACAAATTCTTCATCAGCCATTGTACTATATCTGCACCTGCATAAGAACATTTAAAACAATGTGATTTGCATAATTACAAATAATTTTAAAAGAATTTTTCTAAAACGCAAAAGAAAATACAAAAAGGAGCTTAAATAAATACATTTGACTTTGGCTACTTTTGGGAGTTTTGTAATATCCCTAAACCAATTTCAGAAGAAGACAAATCTATAAAAAGATGAATGATGCTGTTAACATGTTAAGAAAAGCAGAAATAATTCCTTAAAATGTCATGCATAGAAGATCAATATGTTGTAATGTGGATACCTCACCTAGACAAACCTAAACCCTGAAAATCCTTTTTGTTTCTCCCGGAGAGAATTATCTCATTTTTGCTTCCCTGCAATGAGATGCCTGAATGAGATGCCATTTAATTCCCCATCATTCATTAGTTTCCCATGCTAAGGCACCAGATGCAAACGTTTCAACTTCTTCTCTACACATTCATCCACTGCTGTGGTTATCGTGTTTATTGACATACTTAGCTCACAGGCATATTGGGTAATACATCTTGCATTGAGACAATGGCACAGAAAACAGGGAAATGTTAAAGGCTTCTCTTCGTTTCCATTGTTTGTTTAAAATGCTTCACAGCCTCCCACAATGCATCATTCCTGCAATTTCCAAATACATCCTACATACAAGGTAGATCCCTATCACAGTTCAACAAGCTTGTGGTGTCTTTTATATCTGATTTTAAACTGTATTTACAGATTTTAACCAGCAACACTCTGACAGCACTGAAGCAGATGAAGGTTGATTGCCTTGCTTAAGGGTCCTTTCATAGTAGGAGGACATTACTCATTCCATTCCTGCTCTTACAGTTTCTTTCCCAAACACTTAATTACATGTTGTCCTCCCACCTTCTCTTCAGCTATGCAGATATTTTGCTGTGTAGTAGGTGCAGAGCTTTCACATCACCAGAATGAAATGTAACTAAAGTGAAATGGTGTGACTCATCTAAACATCTTCTTTTTTGTTGTTACAGTTGAGACGGTCATTTTTAGTTTCCTTAGTTGAACCCACTCCTATTCTCTTCTGTTTGTGCGTTCATGAATAAATAAACGTTTTAGATAGACGTCTGCTACAGCCCATCTCTTTGTCTCATCATCTCAGCACTCATTATATAATCAATCTTGTAAATATAAGATCAAAATTGAATACTTCTGGAAAATCTCCAAGTCAAAAAGATGTTTTATCACGTTATTCAACAATATGACTTCTATCTGGGTAAATGTTTGTGTCAGCAGCTACTTGCATTTTGATATCTTTATCAAAACCAAACTGATTTTCACATTTCAAAAAACATAACAGCAGAAACTTTTAGCATATTTTGTTTGAAAATCATCTTCAACATTCAGTTCCAAACAGGAAACCAAACTGGCTTCAGTTTATTTCCCATCTACTCTTCTTTAACTGGGGTAGTAAATTTTCAACTTTGACAGCGCCGCCACTTTGGCTCCAAAGATACATAAAGATCATATGTGTGTTTCTTTCACAGAAGTGAAAATGTAAGTGTAGCTTGTCAAGTTCTGGGACAAATTCCTCTAGCAGGTGTTTTAAATAATCATCTTCTAGACACAGGTTAATCATTTGAGATATTTTCAATAAAGGTAATGCAAAATCTCAATCATGTCCAATTAATTCATTAGCAACTCAGAAAGCATTTCAAGGAGGATTAGGAAGGTAAAACTGAGTGGCTCCAAAATGTTCTATTTCATAATTTTTTTTATAATTAACATAACATTTATAAACGTTTGCTTAATTTATGTTAGTGTGCAAAAAAGTATTCACTCCATTTCTACAGTTTTCTGGAGTTGAAGAATTTGGCTTACTTGCAGGTTCACAGCTGACTTGTGAGCTTTGTTGGAAAAGCCATATTTCAAAAAAAGAACAGTTTTATGACTAGAAGTCGTTTTGATGACGACCCACTGAAAATGTTCCTTCTGACAATTTACAGTGGAATGAAAAGAGAAAAAGGGGTTTCCTCAAAGCTTTCAAGCTTTCCAGAAAAATGCTGAACTAAAGAACTGAGCATTTCCCAGGATGTCGTTTTGTCTGTTCACCAGACACTTACTGTCATCCAGTTATGTATCGCTGCAGGTAATGTTTGTACCACGCAGAGCCTGTCAGTCCAACTCTGTCATTTCCACCACTTTACTGCCAAATACTTTCTTCACTCCGTTTCTTACCTGTAACAACACTGGGGATCTTGGTCATGAAACTTTTGACGGTTCTGATGGGCACGCCTTCAGTCTCGTCCTGGATGAGAGTGATGATATCTTCAATCTGAGGAGAAAATAGAAGAAATTGAGAAGGCGAAACGGCTAAACACGAACAAACCAAATTCTTAAAAAACAGAATGTTTTAAGTGGGCTACTTTTTAATATCAAGTTTGCTTATTGGCCTAGTTTAAGCTCAGTTCAGCCTCACCATGCTGCATGTAAAAACACACAAATAGACAACACTGTGGTCATAAGGTGACTGACTGTGAATTGTTAATTTGGTGTAGACCAGAAGAAAAGCTGCATATAAGGAGGGAGATGTGTGTCCTGCTGACACCTGGAGAAGAAAAATCCATCGCTTCATATTTGTCATAAGTCATCTTTGTTTGTGGTCGGTTCACGTTTCCCCCTGAATGAACACAAGACACTGTTACAAGCTCAGAGAGAGATTTTCTTCTGCGACTAAAGATTTCATCAAAGATGGATGATAAACAGTGAAAACTCATTTTAAATGAAAGTCGTTTAGTTCACGGTTCACATTATGCGTTGCTAAGCCCTAAACAGACCGTCCAAATTTAATTTGAGGACTGTATTCTCATTAAAAACAATCGCAACATAGATTATCAAAACAATACCATCTGGAAACACAACTTACTTGGTTTGTGCAGCCTTAGATATTGCATGAGGCAGAGAACAGGCAGCTAATGCAAAGCCCAAAACAAAGACATTTATATTCCTTGTGGGACCATTTTTCATATCACATCTGCACCATGTCTGCCTCTCATATTTCTTTGTTGTTTTAGTACCAAGCTCAAATCAGATATTTCAATAAAAAAATAAACATCAAATCATAGGAGGCTCCAACGCCTTAGACTTCATTAATGTAAACATTATCCGTTTTTTCCCCTCATCTTTGGATTTATTTAGCTCTGTTTTGTACAATGATATCCTTCAGCCTATCTCTGCTTTTGAACTGGATTAACTTCTGAAATCAAAATCGTGTTCCAGCATCTGGAGTGTTCATATACAGAGTAATCTGTAACTCAATTGCCTTTGCTCTGATATACACCACACTCCTAATTAAATTGGACCTCCCTATTTGGTTACAGAGTACTAGCATTTCATAGCGATATGCAAACAGAGCTATCGCATAAACTGTGATTTCCACCTTAGGTTCGTGCATTCTTCTGATATAAGATGGATTTTAGATGAACAGTTAATGCTTGTGGCCCTTTAATGAGCACACAGATGAAGAATAAAACAATTTTCCCACTTTGCACTGAAGTAATGAGATGATACTTTGGTTTTGATTGCAAGGTTGACACTGCCTCTCTGCACAGATGCTTTTTGTCTGCGTCAGAGAGTGGGAAGTGAGAAGATGGTCGCTTTGGAGACAGCTATCGCAAACTCGCACAGCACTCAGTAGCTATATTTAAACCCTGAATCAAATGCTGACCTCTGAGGATGAGAAAGGGATCTGTGTTTTTCCCTCCCTCAAGTGCACTTGATCAAAATAAATTTCATCGGAACAAAAACATGCGCACACTCTGACATGCATACAACAAGCTCTTAATGAGAAGACATTCAGATTCACCGGGGTCCCACCAAATGTGTTGGATGGCACATTTTCTGTGGAGTTGTGACCCTTTAAGCTTTGGAATATAATGTGAAAGAAAGTAAACAGTAGAACATGCAGCTATAGATTGTACAATATATTTAACAGACAAAAAATGTAATTGTTTGTTACACTAATAAAGTAGTTCATATTTTTTCCTCAGTCTGTAGTCATGAAAATAGTCACCACTTAAATTTAGCTTTCACAACTGAAAACATGGTTTCTTCATCAACTTATGTAGATGCCACTTATCCAAGACGTTGCCTCAGCGTACTTTTGCAACCATGTCAAAAGTATTTTCAAGTTTTTTTTTGACAAAACATAAAATTGTTGCAAAATGTTTTAACCTACGACATGACATCTGCCTCCTGTGCCTGTCAGGTCTATGGAAGAAACCAAAACATCTTTATTTTATCTTTATACTGTCCCAAATTTGTCCCTGCACCAAAACAGTTTTTATAGTCTCCTCTGGGCTCTTTTCCCTTTAGGAAAGTGATGGAAAATCTTCAAAAAAAAAAAAAAAGGTGCCCAGGAGATATAAAGGTATTCAAACCATCGCAACAACCAATTCTGATGTGAAAGAGCAGCAGCTCTACTCCAAACTCCCTCAGGATGGTGGAAGATCTCAGCAACATTATAAACGCTCAGAAATAAAAGGGGGAAAAATCCAGGTTATTGGATATTTAAGTGTTTTACTCCAAGTTTAAACAAGCTTATTTTACCATGATTGATTGAAAAAGGCTTGTAGATATAATTACACTTCGATCAAGGCTTCTTAGCCTGCTAAATAAATTTCTCAAGTTTGAAAGAAGGAGTCATTTACAGAAGAAAAGCTCAAAAGCACATTTTGTTCATTTTTCAACTCAGATGCTTCCAACCAGGGCGAGATTTAAAAGACAAGCAATCCACTCTTACTCTCCTCGTCTTTTGTTGTCCAAGAAAGAAGCCCAACTGGACAAGCAGAGGCACAGGCTGCTAAACGCTGTGCTTCACAATCAGTGTGATTATAGGATCCTCTGGACCTTGATGGTGAGTGGAGAAATGCGCAAATGACTTTAATGGCTTCTGCTGTCATGACCAATCTATTTCTTTTCCACCAAAACAGCTATGCACAGCGAGCGCGTTTCAAATTACAACAGAAAAGAAATAAGACAAACTAATGAGAAATAAATTTAAAGGTAAAAAGCTGTTTCATACGAGAGGAAGAGAAAAGCAATCCTGGAAGAAAACCCGTTTGAGGCGACAAACGCTTCACCTTCCAGTAGCAAATAAACTCCAGATCTTTAGCCAGAAATACAGTGGGATGGGTTCAATTAGAGCATTTTCATGTGCTTGAATGGCCCAGTCCAAGTTCAGTTTTGCATTCAAGCTCTGCATTCAATTTTAAATCTGTGGGTAACCAGAAAAGTGATGATTACAGATACTTTGAATCCAATCTGACTGAGCTTTCATTGTGGGGAAACATCTTGACTCAGGGGGCTAAATACAAAGACCACACCATGTTAGATCTTTTTATTATTTTCTTTATTTTCACTCTGCAATTAAGCACCATTTTACAATTGCCCATCAAACACTCCAAAATACGTTTTGAGTCGTAGATTGTCAAAATGTGACAAAATGTTTTCCAAGCCAATGTACAATTTCAAAATTGAAAACAAATGTGCACCTTTTTTGTAGCTTGAACAGAAGCTTTCTCATATGTGAGTCGCTTGGCCATCAGTTTCTACATCAACTAATTTACTCAATAAGGGCATTTGAAAAGGTAACAGCCTCCTCAGCTGGTCATATAAACTTATGCCAAGATGCCATAACAACCTACAGCTGAGTCTGAAGCCTAGCATGCCCTCTCACACTCATGCAGCCCAGGCCAACAAAAGTACATGTTAGCGTAAAGTACCCCCCCTCTGAATCCCTGACCCTGAAACAGCTGCAATTAGCCTTTCTGGGCACAAAGAAAAATCTGTGGGAGAGAAGACAGACTGTCTTCATAATGAAGCAGGTATACACCCTGCTGAGAGAAAAAATGTCAGCCATGTCCACAAGGGCCAACAATTTCTGAGCTGTGCTACGTACCTAGGCACTGCATTTTAGTGGAGAAAAGAAAATTAGCTCCTTTGAGTCATGAGGTTCCACATGCTGCCTGATCAATGGCTGAAAACTAGCAGACACAAGTAGCAATCAAATAGACTACACTACAAATCACCATTTGCATACTTTATTTCTTACTCCGAATTTTCAAACCAACAAATTCTTATGATTCCCTTGTCAAATGTAGGGCATGCTTTTCCTCTAATTTCAGTATAAATAAGAGGCTGAGTCACCAAATGCTTGGTTACACAACATCTTAAGAGAGGTTCTCAAAAGAAATGCTGCAGGCAGATCCAAGCAGTGAAATCACGACTGCAGCCAAACTTGAAGCCCACTTTAAACTGCCAGCATGGACATTGAGTGCACTCGATTTCATAATCTGTGAAGAAACTCAAAATCTGAGTTTTAGCAAGAAGATTTATCACAACAAATACCCTCCTAATCATTTAAGTCCAGCTGCTTATAAAAATAAAATTGTGTGTGTAGCCTCACATTTTCTCCAGGTGATTTATAAAAAAAAAAATAATAATAATAAAAAAAAACACGGTGGTAAGATTAAGGACACCTCAACTTCGAAAAAAATAAAAATATTATAACATTAGTACATTTGCAAATTGCCATCATAAGTTCCTGCTCAATCAACGGATTGCATGTTTCTCAGTGCTTTCAGTGGCACTTACAACATTCACAAAAGGTCAAGAGCCCACAAAAGGACCAAGGAATAGGAGAGTGCATGAAGATAATTATTGAGAGCAACCGGAAAAGATGGAAGGTTCAACTACAGCTGCGTTACATTTCTGTCCGAGTTATTCCATTTTGAATATCCATAGTAGCTTAGGAAACCCTAACCCTAACCCTAGGAAAATCCTATGAAAAATCTTTCCAAGTCATATCAGAGCAATTTATTTTTTTTGCTTTTCAGTGAAAGCAAAATATAAATTATTTGAGTTTAAATACACCATTTAAGATTGAGGGTGGAGTAACTGTCTGAGATCAGCATTTTTCTACAATTTAAAATTTCCTGCCACAGCTTCCTGCCTCCTAGAGTCAGAGCGTAAAGGTTTCTGTAAAGCCACAGATAACACTTTTTTCACTGTAAGCCACATTATAATCTCACAGAATTTTAAGATTAGGACTCCCAAAACTCATTCCAGAGATTTTATTTATTCATTTTATGCACTGTACAGCATTGTATTAGTCTTGTTGCTAAAAAAAAAAAATCCAAGGACAGTGTGTGGGGAGTTTGTTTTTCCTTTAGACACAAGAATAAAGCCACTTTATGAAATGTCTCTGTATGTCATAAATTCATGAATATATATTAAAATGATCTTAGCAGCCTGCAGCTAAAATTCCATTTTAAG